TCGTGAATGATGAAAACATGATATCTAATTTTTTTTTAACATAATAATGACAACATAATGTCTTATTATTTTTTCAAAATTTATGCTTTGAAACTTGATTGACCTAGCACTATAAGTATTTATGATTTATAAATAATACAATTTACTATAAATTTTAGATTATTTCTAGCTTAGACTATATGTGTGTGTCCTTGGATATTTCTCCATGAGAAAGTGTATTTAAGACCTAAACTTTTTATTATAAAAAAAAGCGTATTTAAAAAATGTGAACAAAAATATATGATTATATATGGAATCCACATCCTATGATTAATAATGTGAGGCTCATTATTACTCTTTTTTCCCCTTCTCTTTCCAAATGCACATGTGAGTATCGAGGATTTTTTGCTGGCCCAGTGAGGATAGAGGATCTAGAATTCTAAATCATATTTTATGGAGCATAATATGTACCTCATGTATATAATTGTGAAAACTATGAAAAGCCTAAATCTAATTGTGAAGTACAAGCTGAATTAAATTTGAAAAAATAAGTCTGAGTCTACATTTGATATAGATGTGTCCTTGATTGTGTCAGCTTAGCTTTTTGTATAATTGCATGCTTGAGATCATTGCACCTAAAGAATTCAGAGCCTGTATGTGAAATATTTGTGATTACAAATCATGGCCTCGCAAGATTCGTGGCATATCAAATGATGATTCCATGTGATACATTATAGTTTTTTTTATATATTTTATCCCACTTTTTTCATGCATTTTAATAATAATTTTAGGCTAATTTAAGTTTATTAGATATTATTTGGATTGTTAGTCAATTTTGAGAAATAATATATTTTTGAATTAATTATAAAATTTTGAACTTAATTGTTAATATTTTATTTTTTCTATTTTTAACATGGTTTAATTTTGTCAATTTTAATTAAGCTTAAACAGAATTATCATACATCAATTGGGTTTTTGGCCATTTTATGAAAAATTATAACAGCTGAAAATTAATTTAAAAATATTTTATGAGACATGAAATTTATTTTAGACATAATCTACATTAATAGCTTCATGTTGACTTTTCAAATTATGAAAGCATAGCTAATAAAATTTAATAGTAGAGATTAATTCTTGGATTTCAAGAGACATTCAATGGTCAAGGTTTTAAAAGACATAGAAGGAATTATCAAAATTTATTAGTGGCACAATGAACATTTTCAATTGAAAAAAATTTAATAACTTTTACATTTTTCTATCTTTTTTCTTATTAGCTCCTTTTAACTTTAGTGGCTCAAGTTTTTCTTAAATTCTTTACACTTTCTTCTAATCATTGAATCATTTGTCTCAAAACTCTCTCTTCCTCTCACCAAGTTTACATTGCCGCCGGAGTTGAGGAGAGGGAAGCCCTCTCTAGTTTTATTTTTTTTTTCGGTTGAAGCTCTCTCGAATTTTTTTTCCCTTCAGCATCTATCATCATCATCTCCAGCATTTCTCTTTCTCTACTTTCAATCTACTCTTTCATTTCATTCACGCCACCTCATCATTGATTCTTCCATGTTACTTTCTCTAGAATTGCATTTGGTGTTCATCCTTTGTGATTAGCACCATATGCTCATCACATCAAAAGAGATCTTGATCTTTTATTTTAGCCTTATTTGATTCCTACCGTCCATTTAAATTAATTTTTTAAATATTTTTAATATTATATTTATTAATATAAAAATATTAAAATTTTAATATATCTTTTTTATTACCAATCTGGCTAATATAAATTTAATCTAATAGTCTAATTTAATATTAAAAAATTATAATTTTATAATTTGATTATACATATAGATTTTGTACAGTTCAGGTATAATTTAGATGACCTACTTTAATATTAGAAAATTTATAATCTTACAAATTAATCATTTAAATGTATTTTAAATAGTCCAAATTTAATATTAAAATTTTTATTTTTTTATTTTAATAAATATAAAAAAATTAATCTAAATGGATGGCATGGATCAAATAAGATTAAAATAAAAGGTCAAGATTATTTTTGATCTTGATGAGCATCAAATTCGGATGCTACTTTCTCCAACTTCAGCTGCATACTGGCCATTCAACTCTCTCTCTCTCTCTCTCTCTCTATATATATATATATATATATTCATTCCAACACCTTCTCTCTTCCCATAACCATCAAGTAGGGGTGAGTATCGGTCGGTTTGGTTCAGTTCGGTTTCAAAATATGCAGAACTGATTGACTGAATAACACTGAAAATGAAAACCGAATCGAACCGAACAAACCAATCAAACTGAACAAGGATCGAACCGAAATTTGATAATTCAATTCAGTCGATTAACTCAATTTTTGGTTTCATATTGGGCCATTGAAATTGGGCCCATTTTTTTAAATATTAAAACAAACAACACTGTAAAATTAAGCCTTTTTTTCTATTTGTTTTTTTTCAATATGTGCCCATTTTAATTACACCCATATGACATAAAGTCTAAATATTATAAAGGCATGGATAATCAAATAAACAACCACAAATAAATACCAATGATCAAATAATGGCCCCATAATCCAGTCATAGCCATGTTAAATTTATAATTGTAACAAAACAGACACGTTAGTGATGAAAAATAAAAATAAAATAAAATAATTTATAAATTATATAAAATAAAATAATTTATAAATTAAATATACTTTATAAATTAATAAATTATTTGTAATTTGGTTGGTTTAGTCTATTCAATTTTAAATTTTACTAACCGAATCAAACCGATCAACTGAAATATTTAAAATAAAAAAAACTAAATCGAATCAAAAAATTAAATAGACTGAATCAAATAGACAAAATTCGATTCGATTCGGTTCAATTTTTGATTTTGATTCGGTTTTGCTTATCTCTACCATTGAGAATCCAACACGCACAACACCAAGAAAATTTTGTCTTATTTTCATCTTCTATTCAAGGACACTAACAGTGGTGCCAGTAGAAGGAAGAACATTATCCATAAAAACTTGAGTTAGCTTGAGAGACAACTTAAAATGATCATTAAAAAAAAAAAAGCTAAAGCTTAGAATTTATATTTGAAGACTATTAGAGAATGATTTTTCATTTATCTTTTTAATTCAAGAGCTTAAAATTATTTAGTTTTAAATGATTTTAAGTTATAATGCTCAGATACAATCTAATTCTAAGTTGTAAATATTTTAAACGTTAAATTGGATTGACATAATTTGGATTGATTTTGTGTTTAATGAATTTCTAAAATTTATGTTTATATATCCTTACCTTCCAATTAAATTAATGATTGAGTTTTTATTGTTGATTTAATTTTTGTTGTAGTGTTTGTTGCAAATTTGGGTCATTCCTTTTACCTCTTGATTGTCAATTGAGTTGGTAATTTGTCTAATTATTCAATTAGATAATTTATATATATTTTTCTAAATTATTTTGAATTAATTGTCATTGATTTTAATTGATTTAATTTGCCTAATTCATAGTCATAACATTTGGTTCACTATGAGTTATTTAGTGGATTAAGTGTTAGATTTTGTGTTGATGAGTTCATTTTCCTTTGGTCAAATTAATTGGTTTGGGTTAGAAAAGTTAATTCTATATAATGTCCTAAATTGTCCCCTTTACCACATTTGAATGAAACTTTTCTTAAATTTTTTTTATCATTTAATCCTTTTTGTCACTTATTTAATTTCTTTAGTTTGTATTTTATTTTTTTGACACAAAACCCCTATTATAATTTAGAATTCATGCATTACATAATAGTATTTAGGTGACATTAGTATTATCATCCATTTAGATAGTTTTAGTGGCATAAATTGTATTTTTTCATTTGCATTCTAGCGTAAAAATCTAGCATTTAGTTTTAAATTTTTTTTGCATTAGCTTTTAAATACCTACAAAAAATTAAAATAATTCCTAAATTGCTCTTTGAAAAGAATAACTCAAAGTTGGTCTATACTATATTAAATCAATCTTAATTAATTGAGTGTTGACACGATTAAGGCAAATCCATCACCATGTCCACTTAACGGTCTTTCACATCTAATCATTTTGAATGCTAAAGATCACACTTTTGAATATGTGCTTAGCACGAAACTTCAATGGACTGGGTTGTATTTTTCCTTGAATGTTAGGCCAATCATTTTATTTCTTTTTCTTCTTCTTCATTTTCTTCCTGATTTCGTGCTTGATACTTCATTTTAGATCCACACAAAAGGTTTGGGAAATAAATTGATAGCCTGCATGTGTGTGCGCGTAAAATTTTGCAAAACATAATTAAATTAAGGGGTCAAGAGATCTCCTGTGCATCGCTTGGTACATTAGAGTTAAAACTAGAGAAGTGAAAGTGAAAAGATGGAGTGTTCCATGCTACCTCTGCTCTAATTCATAAAATATTTTTTAAAAAAATTCAACATTTCAAAACATAAAATATTTTTAATAAAAATAAAATTTCATTAATAATATTTTTTTAATATTATCCTTTTTATTTTATTCTTTATCTTTAAGTAAAATATTAAATGAAGAGTATTTTAAAATTTTACATTTTTATTTTTTTAAAAATTTATAAAATGTATTTAATAAATTTTATTATTATATATGTGATTTTGTATAAAAATGATTTATAAATCAAGATATAGAGAGTACATTTGTCAAAATTGATATTTTCAATAATATCTTGGCGATGGCCATATAATTTAAAATTTACCTGGGCCTTGCTTGCAATTATTTTCCAGGCCCTCAATCATGTTTTCTCCATTTATTTTGGTCTTTCTGACTTTCTGTCATTCCTGTGTTATACTGTTATTTTTATTTTTTCACTAGTTCAGTTTCACCTTGCTATTATTATTATTATTATTATTATTATTATTATTCCCGAGCAGAGTACGATTCTGCCTTGTCACTTAGCAACACATGGCCTACCAGGCTGGTGAAGCTTGTCTTGGACAGCGACAAACTACGTTTACTGTGCCGTCTCACTTGTCAAAATTTTTGTGTCGACGATGACAGCGAATGAATGAAATGACGCGGGAAGCACATTCCTCCATTTGTACTCTTTCTACCTCACCTTTTCTTCTCTTCATTTTCATTCCATTTCTTCTCTAACCAAATCCCAATTCCACTATTATGTTTCTTCATCAACCATAGCTCAATCAAACAATATGGCTTCCAGCTCTGCTTTCAGATCCTCGAGAACGCACCACAGACAAGTCCTTACTGCTCACTCTCATGGATATTCTTCTTCTTCGTCTTCTTCTTCTTCTTCTTCTTCATGTGCTGCTTCAAATTTGAATACGGCTAATGTTCATGGGCAAATTCCGCCGCAGCCTGCTCGATCCAGAACTCCTTCTGCTTCTCCCAGGCGGATGCTCGCTTCAAGTAATCATACTGCTCCGTTGGATGATGATGAACAAGGTGATTTCGAGTTCATTGGAAGGATAGTGTTTGAAAACCTACTGTGTAAAAGTTTTTGTTTTTGTTTCCTAGCATCTTCTTTTGTTTCTGTTAGATATCGGTATGTAGCCCCCAATCTAATGCTGGGTTGGACAGAGACAATGGAATATTGTTTTGACGTAGATTTTGAACTTATTGTTTGTAATATGATCTTTCTTGCATGGTGCGGTTATACGTTGAACCAGATTATCCTTATTAGGTTATAATGGCGTAAAGTATTTTCTTGGGAGAATGACAAAAAAGGATGTTATAAGAACATTAATGTCAAAATAGAAACTTTGGTACTAACATGGTATGAGGAGTACTGAAATTTGGAATCGTCAGTGTTGAATTGAAAAAAGGACCTTATTTGTCATTCTCCCTATTTTCTTTCGATATTTTTTGGGGTGTTATCTTAGTAGACCTTAATGTATTAATCACCACAAGTTTTATTTGCTTTCCGCTATCATCAATGAAGGATTTAAGCGCCTTCGTTATGTCCGTATGGTTATTTCTGTATTGTTATATTTAAATATCAAAGGAGTCGGGATTGGGGAAGGGAAAGTAGCAGGGATTGGACCTTGAATCATGTCCAACTTAATTTTAAAGTAAACCACGTGACAGAACACATGTGCACATTAAGAGATTGTAAAATGAAAGGGAATGCGGCCCCCCCCCCGCCCCAAGCACCCAAAAAAAAAAAAAAAGAAAAAACTTCTATTTGGCCTGTTCTGCCCAAGCTTCTGCTGGTGAGTAATTATGTTGGTTCAGTGACTCTTGAATAATTTCATTATGGCTTTTTGCTACGCAGTACGCACATTCCTATTGTATTAAGCTTCTTTTTTTCCTATCATCAATCCACTGTCTATCCAGTTTATTCTTTTAAAATCAGCATGACTAGATCAACCTTTACCCCTTAGGCTCTTACTCTATATTCCGTTATATGTTTTAAAGTGTTAAGGTCAGTTATCACTTCAATCAAAAGGTTAAGCTAAAGTGAAGGCCCTTTAGTAGTTTATTGCTAACTCTAGCAGACCTCTCCGCTCAAAAGTCCTCTAGTATCAAGAGTTCATAGAGCATGGGCCCAATGCTGAGACTTCTTTAAAATATGAAGAGTAGAAGCAGCAGAGAATTCCGTGCCTTGGTCATGGAGGCTTTGCAACCATGTTGTTGACCACCTTAGTCTTTAATTCAGAAGATTAGGTTGAAAAGTGAAGTCCATGGATATTGTATTATTATAATTTCCTCCTTGAGGATTCTTCATTTTGGTTCTAATATGCTAACAAGTCATTGTATGTAATTTTAGAAATCAATTTAATCACTAATTATTTGTGTGAAGGTCTAACCTATCAGCTAGCTATTACTTTTAATGCTTTTCTCCATACTTTTGTTTTGAAATTTTCTTATCATATTCACTTGTTGCTTGTTATATTATTTACTTGTTTGCAGATTTTTTTGGGTATTGGAATGTCTCAACTGTATATTATCATCTTTTTACGAGTTTGTTGAAGGGAGGTCCTTTAAGTTTAAGAAACTGGTGCTGTGGTTAACAAGTATGGCTCATTTGTGGGGTAAACACGTATTTATTGAGTTTGATCCTTTCTTTGTTCCCTATTTAGATTCTCAAAGGGTTAGAGTTGCTGTGCGACTTCGGCCAAAAAATACAGATGAAATTCTTTCAGATGCTGATTTTTCTGACTATATTGAATTACAGCCAGAGGTAATAACAATTACCACTAATATCAAAATCAGGCCAGCCCTCTCATCCTTTCACACAGAAGTTCTTGCATTACCTTCTATGATTGTCATGCATGTAGTTCACGTACAAATAACAATCACCAAAAATTATTATATGGTTTAAGATACTGTTTTTTTCTCCCCTTAAATCTGGATTCTTTATTATTTGTTAATATTTTGATTTGCGTCCTTGTAGCTGAAGCGGTTAAAGTTGAGAAAAAACAACTGGAGTTTTGAATCTTATAGGTTTGATGAAGTTTTCACAGAAACTGCCTCTCAGAAGCGAGTTTATGATGTTGTTGCCAAACCTGTAGTTGAGGTAAGTGACCATCAACACTTGTTTGAATTATAATTAATGTTTTGACTTGACTGAAGATTATGCCACAAGTTTGACTCTTGATTACTGAAAATTTCACTTATGCATGCTGCTTGAAGTTGCATATTTGGAATGCTACAAAAACGTGCCACTTTGTAAATTGGTTGAAGCCTATGTTCTTTAATGATTGTGTGGATATTGTAGTCTGGACTCATCATTCTTCATTTGTTTTTTGGGGCCAAACATCATTCTTCATTCTTAACTACATTAGAAATGTTGATGTGTTCTTGCAGAGTGTATTGAGTGGATATAATGGGACAATTATGGCTTATGGTCAAACAGGTACTGGTAAAACATACACAGTTGGAACATTGGGTAAAGATGATGCTTCAGAGCGTGGAATTATGGTTAGGGCTGTGGAAGACATAATTGCCTGCACATCTGCATCTGATAGTGTTGAAGTTTCCTATTTGCAGGTATTCAAACTTGACTAGAAAGTAGAGCCGTTAATTAGGGCCAAGCATGTCAAGCTGGCCCTTTTAAGCCTGAAAAAATTTAGGGCCGGGCTGCTAGTTTATAGTATAAAATGACCCTTTTAAGCCCTTTTATAATTTTTAAAATTTTGGCATTAAAAAAATTAAATATTACACTAATTTTAAAACCCTAGCCTCATTTTCACAAGGATGAAGAAAGAATATATAAAAAGCTTAATATCTTTTCCACTGATGAGGCTCCACAAGGAGAAGAATGAAATTATATTAATATTGATGACAATGAAAATCATTAAGATTTAGTTGATGATGTTAGTAAGGTCTAATTATTTTCAGTGCTGATTTTTTTGATATTGTTTTTTATTAGACTTAAATTTGTTGTTGTGTGTATTGACTTAAATTTGTTTTTCTAGACTTACTATTATATGTTATAACTTTTTTGAGATTTTAAATATTTTTTTTAGATCTTTAAATTGAAAAATGAAAAAAAAAATACAGGGTTGAGGCCTTGAGGGTCAAGGTTGAGCTGACCAAAATGAAGCTTTGAGATATAATCGGGTTTAATAGGGCTAGCCTGTTTAGGTCTTGAAGGGCTAGACTGACTCTAATTGATAGCTTTACCTGAAAGCTTGGCCTTTTAGGTAGTTGTGATGCTATGTAGTGGCTTTTGTTGAGTAATTGTGAGTAGAAGCTAGTTCTTTATTTTCTGTGGAAGCATGGCCTTACAACCTTTTGAGTTATGAAAGTGTTATGCTATTTTTCATTTTTTCATAAGAAATTCATATTTTTTGGCAAGGTTTTAAAAATTGGCTGGTTATTGGACTAGACTAGGCACTAGATCACAATAATGAACCATGGTCGAATTGTGGTTGAACTGGTTGGCATTAAATTAATATGCTTTTAATGTATGTATCATAATCAAATAAGAACTACGTGTAAATATATATTTTTTTTAAAGAAAATATTATGAATGCTTGGTAGTATGATCTATTGTCGATGAATACATGATTAATAATATTAATCATGGATGAAGTCTTCCATTTAGAAATTAAGAAGGAAGTTGATAGAATGATAAAGTGTTAGACACTTTTTGAAAGCATATTTAAGTTAAATTTAAAAGATCAAGTTTAAACAAAAAATATAGATAAATAATAGAAAGCATCAACATTAAAAAGTTGTGTTTACATTTAAAAAAAAGCTTCAAGATATAAGCGAAAAAAATCAACCAAAATCACTAGTAAAAAGAAAAATGAGGAAGAATGCATTGAGTTGTGTATTGTGTGTGCATAATATTTGTTAAGAAGTCTCTAGTAGTCCCACATTGCTTATATTTTAGTTGTCAATTTATGTCATTTTCTGACAACTCTTTAACTATTGCCAACTTGCTATTTTGACAAATTAAATTGTTATGTTTGTTTTATGATATTCTTCCTCCAGTTGTATATGGAGTCCATACATGATTTGCTTGCTCCAGAGAAAAGTAACATTTCTATACATGGAGACCCAAAGAGTGGTGAAGTGTCATTACCTGGTGTTGAAGTGGTTAAAGTTCAAGATCTTGATAGTTTTGTGCAATTACTTGAACTAGGTGAGGCAAATCGTCATGTAGCTAACACAAAGCTGAATACAGAATCTTCAAGGAGTCATGTGATTCTTATGGTGTGTATAGCGTTATCTCCCTTTTTTCCTTCTCTTGTATAATTCAGGATATTTGTTCAATAATACAACAAAATTTGGTTCTGCTTCTCCTATTGGATATATAAAACACTGAATGCTTAATATCCCTTTGTACTTGAAGGTTCAAATTCGCAGATCCATCCTTGGAAAAAAAGTAGAAGACACTACTTGTCAAGATAAAACTATCACAAATGATGCTTTCGTTGACAACAATAAACCTATGATTCAGAAAAGCAAGTTGCTAATTGTGGATCTTGCAGGATCTGAAAGGATAGATAAATCCGGTTAGTCTAATTATTATTATAAATTATTCATGATTGAGTACTCCTGTCCAAGACCTATTGCTGTGGTGTGCTTGTATTATAATTTTGTTTTTCTCTGATTTGTCCTTTTAAAAGCCATGCTATATGTTTTTTCTTGTCATTTTTGGACAATATGCTATCTTGGTTTTTTTAATTTTAATATATTTGGCAAGATTTACTTCCAGAAAAATTATAAATTCATTGTCATGTGCGGTTCCTAATCAAAATGGTTTGTATGAAATATCAACTTAGACACATTTCCTCTTGTTGTAGGAAGTGAAGGGCACTTGCTTGAAGAGGCTAAATTCATTAATCTCTCTCTCACTTCACTTGGAAAATGCATAAATGCATTGGCTGAAAAAAGCCCACATATACCAACAAGAGAGTCCAAGCTTACAAGGCTACTTCGTGATTCATTTGGAGGTCATATTCCTAAGTTTTTGTTTTCCTTTTTTGGTCCATATCTTCAGAGCTTCTAAATGTTGCAATGTGAAACATCCATGCTGATAATGCTTGTAGTTTGCACTAACCAAAATCAATTTATAAAAGATGAATGCTGACTTCTTTATCTCAGTGTGGAGGTTAGCATCCTCCACTTTTTATGTTGGCCAAAAAAAGGCAAAACTGCAGCGGTGGATATTTATTCAACACAAGAATTTGTATGTATATATATATATATTTTAATAATGACGACGGCGATGACGACTACATTCAGTATCTCAAGGTTATTGTATGACATAATCACATGGTGCATATAGTTTTTGTGTGATTCTAAGGGAGAGACAGTTTTTAGGTCTAATATAGAGCGTGGAGAATTTTATCTTCCACCGATGTTGAGGGAAATAGCTGTCCTTTGTGTGTGGGTGCGCTTGTGTGTGTTCTCTATGTCAATGTGACAATACTTTTATATTATACTTACGTCAAGGAGGTAATGTTGATGTCTCTTCCTTTTGTGGAGTCACGTATAACTAAATGAAATTTCTTTTTTAATTGAGCGGCCTTAAAATTTTGAGTCAAAGCTGGGATAAATCATCTCACTTTTGGGATAGAATGCTTGTATTTTTGTATTTGTATTTTATCAGTGAAAATTATAAACTGGGAATTCTTCTTTTGTTTCACTCTTAAAACTTTTTTGCATTTGATATTCTTTGGCTCCCTTTTGCTTGAAAAATGTACAAGTGTATTAGCTGAAGAAAAGCCCACAGGTATCAAATGGGAGTCCAGACTTGCAACTTGAATTCATGGTTCATTTCAAGACCATCTGCATAACTTATCTTGTTCTTAGAGTAATTGTGCTTCCTCCCATCACTTTATTGTTCATAGGTTTTTAACAATTTTTACTCTTGGAAATAGGGTCTTCAAGGACTTCTCTTATTATAACAATTGGGCCTTCTGCGAAGTACCATGCTGAGACTTCTAGCACAGTAATGTTTGGACAGCGAGTGAGTTAATGATAATATGTTTATGGTTTCTAGCCATGATACATTTTGCATTTTTACCTTGCTACAGCTGCACTTCCCCCCTCCTCACAACTGAAGAGACCCATCTCTCTCTCTCTCTCTCTCTCTCTCTCTCTCTCTCTCTCTCTCTGTGACAGTGAATGTATTTTTATGCTTTCCGCAATCTGTTTTGATAGGGATTCATATTTGGTTAGGATTTGATTAATTCAGAGTGTATTAAGAGAATTTTTTCTAATCCAAACAATTTCAGAAATTTAACTCAAACGATTGATCATTATATTCTCATTTGATGTAAATTTCTTGTTTTTTTGATTTATATGGAGAAGTTATGAGAATGTTTGTTCCATATTTGGGGCCAATGAAAGAAAAAATAATCTAGGTTAAGCAATGTGGCGATAAATTTATACTTCATGAGCATGATTTTGGTATGACTGCCAATAGAGTTTTATCATAAATGGACTGATACCTGGTTGGGGAATATTGTGAAAAGTTTAGGCCCTAAAACATGCTTTCAACCTATGTGTTGCAATAGATTATTCTTGCTTAAAGCATGCACAGCAATCATGACCTTCATTAATGGGTTTTCACGTCTCATTCTGTGATTGTTTCTAGAACATTCTCGTAGTCCAAGAGCAGAATGTAATTGGATTTTAAGGATGTATATAATCCAGATTCCTGAGCTCCCAAGTACAAAATCTACATAGCAACCTGGATTCTTAATTTTAGTAATTCTGTATTAATTTCTTTCACTTTATTTGTTTTTCACGTTATTATATCATTTAGTTTAGAAATCTCTTTTCAATTAAGTGGTTAATGCATGTCTTGTTTTGAGTACATGAATATATTCTGATTAAAGACAATATCATTTTGCAATGCTTGGAGGGGACATCAGTACAGCCCATTTTTTGTTCTGTGGCTAGCATGAAATGAGAATACAATAAAAGATGAAATGAGGCTTGCATGATTGAACATGTCTTTAATTAGCTCGTTTCAATTAGAATGTATTTATATGTGACCACCATGGACATGGGAAATGGTGATATTGCATAATATCAACTACAAGGAAGAGCTAACGGTTCTCAAGGTAGATAAATTTCCCTTGACAAGCTCACTTGCTTAATTGCAGGCAATGAAGATTGTGAACAAGGTAAAGCTCAGAGAAGAAGTTGATTATGAAGCTTTATGCCGTAAGCTTGAAAATCAAGTGGACCTTCTTACTGCAGAAGTTGAAAGGCAGCAGAAGATGAGAGAAAATGAAAAAGATATGTTGGAGAAACAGCTAAAAGAAGGTCAAGATGCTATAATTGAAACGAAGAGAAGTCTGCTTACAAGGTCTGAGGTAGTTGTTTGTTCCTCTTGTAGTCTGAAAGGCCTTTGTGCATTGAGTCCATGTCAGGTTTTCAAAGCCATGGTTTTTCCAAGTTTCCTGTGTTTTAAATTTCCAACATTAATTTTTGTCCTTTTGTAACTTTCAAATGCTGGCAGTTTCTAGAAAAGGAGAACATGCATTTGAAAGGGGAGTTAAAGGACATTTTAACCAAACTTAAAAGTCAGAAAGATCAAAATGGTTCATTGCATGAAGTGGCTGCAAATTTGGAAAGGAAAAGTGAGGTAAATCTTCTGTGAGATCGAGCTTTTGCTGCTTTCCTAATTCACTCTTGATCTGTGCAATTTCAGTTCCCAATGATATTAACGTTTTACAATGTCAGTACATTATATGTATGGTATTTGTTAATTGTATTGTTACCACTTTTGCTAACTCTTGTCTTAGCCCCAAAGCAATAAAACCTTGAGGGATACTTTTCTTATACCTTATACCTTTGAAGAACCCAAAGGAGTGGTGACTATTTGACATCTCTTTTCTTTAGACCACAATAGTCAATATATTGAAGTTGGCTGACACGGTTTGATAAAGAGGAAACTAAGGATTGCGAGGCTTAAAAATTAAAAAGTCTGGAGTAATAGGTTTCTGGAAATTGATCCTTGTCAATGATTTTTCCATTCTTAGGGTCTGATAGCAGTGTAACGAAGTTACCTTGTTGCTGTCGATGTTTCCCTCACAACTTGTAGCATGGCCCACATAATAAAAAAAGGACTAGGGATGGTAAAAACCTTATCAGGTTCTTTGAAGCCAGTATTGTGGTCATCAGCCAAGACAATAAATAAAATGTGCTTCCTGACTCAAAGACCTCCATTCTTTGCTTTGGTGCTTAAAGCTACCATATGTGAGGAGAATGCACTTCTTTGTTTATCAAATCTATACTGTTTGCATCATTCTTTTCTTTGAGCATCAAAATTAGGATTGCTTAAAAGATAAATAATAACCAAGTTCTTTCCAGAGTGATTTGTTAAAATCTATTCATGAATGCATTGAGTACAATCTGGTGTGTGTAAAGATTATACATGATCACCTCAGAAACACGTATACAAACAAAATAAAATGACAACAAATTCAGTGAAATGATATAGAAAAAATATATATATATTTTAAAAACACATGCTGTAGAGTAATAAGTCATGTGATCGACCTTTGAATCTTCAATGGTGACATGGCCTTGCTGTTTGATGTGGATGTTTAACAGTTCTCAACCAAAGAAATAGTTTTATCCTTATTCTGTTCTTCCAAAATAGACTTGTAGCAATTATAATTTCCTAGAGGACTATTTATGGATAACCTAAGTAAGAAATTTTAATAATCTAGGGATTTAGGCATCTTAAAGTTACATGGATAATGGCTGGAAAAAAAATGCCCATTGTTACTTGGCCAATGAGAACCTTTATTCAAATCCTTGTTAAACCCTACTTGCAAATTAAAAACCCCAATTGACAAGGCGAATTAAATGGCTAATGAAGAGGTTTCTTCATCAAAGTGTCTTTTTAAGATCAAAATCTATTTACAATGCTCTCTCTCTCTTCTCTTCTCACTAGCTAATATATGTTTTTGGCGTGGAATTCTTTCTTACATGTCAATTGGTATTGATGATGTTTATTTGACCATAAGTAGCAACAACTCCTTGAAAATTCTGCAATTCAAAGAGTACTGGTAGAGACCACTCAGATGTATGAGAGGAAAATTGCAGAGTTGCTTAAGCAGATTGAAGACAAGCATTGTTGTGCTGAACACTCTGCAAAAGAGCTAGATGCAGCACAAAGGCTTCTAAATGATCATCAAAAGTCAATTAAGGTTTGTAATCAATTAGCCAATTTTAGAAACAGCTGATAATGCTTCTCTATATCATATCAATATAAATGATAAAAAAAGTTGTATCTTGTAGCCGGTCAATTTTTGTGTTAAAGTATGTATTATGAGCCAGCACGCACGTACATGCATGCACGCATGCACGCACCCACTAGGTTCCTGCATGGCTTATAGGAGTTTTTTGGAATTAGTTTCAATACTGTGTTTTCCTGCATGGCTTATAGGATTTTTTTGGAATTAGTTTCAATACTTTGTTTTCCTGCATGGCTTATAGGATTTTTTTGGAACTAGTTTCAATACTGTGTTTTCCTGTAAGTCTCTTTTGTAAATCTCCCATATTTTAGAATATAATGAGAACATGATTCTGATACTTTATATTTCCTTAAATTTCTTCTATTCCTTTGTGAGAAGCAAAAAGAAGTAGAGAATGCTGCATATCAAACGGCCCTGGCTGAAACCACTAAAATGCATGAGAAGCAAGTAATGGAGCTAGTTAAACAGATAGAAGATGAGCGTTGCCGATTTGAATGTGCCCAGGAACAATTAGACTTGGCAAAGGGACTCCTAAGCGATCAACAAGACTTAGCACAGGTGAACTTAGTTAATGTTTTTCACAACTTATTTCTTTAACAATCTGCTTCCCTTTCGATTCCTTTTCATTTTTTATGACAAAGAATGATGTTAATTTTCTCTCAAGTTGTCTGTCAGTTACTGAAGCACAACTGCATATTTACCACTTTTTAATTAGCTATACAAATTAAAGCGTTTTCATAAAGTATATTCATTCAATTGTTGAGGAAATTACCAGTGCTCTCAGTGGATCTGATCTCATGGATGTTCTTCAGCATTTACAAATTGTTGTAAGCTGTACTGGGGATTCATTTTGTGATAGTTTCGTAACATTTTGAAATTGAATCAGATTCATTGCATTTCTCGCTAAGTGCATGTTAAAAGTTAGATGAGAAGCACTATTATGTAAAAATTCTTTTGATTATCATGCATTTAGGAGTTCTTGTGCTTTGCATCCAACCTTTTTGCACTAGCTTGTGATTTTTATAATTTTTTTATTGTAATATTAATGTTTGAACACATTTTATTTGATGTTTAATCATTAGAACCAGTAATTCGAGCAGGGCGGGCTTATTCGGGTCGGATTTAAAGTATCATACTCTTTTAAAGAAACTCATAGAGTCAAGCCCTACCCTAACTTTTTTTGGCCGGGTTTGGGCTGGCCCATCAGGAAAATTACCAAACTCTATATACATAGAGCTGGAAATTCCAACAGTCAGGCTTGGCCATGCTTAAAGTATCCTACCCTCTTAAAAAAAGCCATATAGCAAAACCCGACCTAATTTTTTTCGGGCGGGTTCGGGTTGGCCTGAATTACCGGCTCTATTTATCATTCAGTTTAATTTTGTGTGTTCTAATTTTTATTCTATTTAGTTTAGGATTACTCATTGCACAGGTTTAGTGTTATTAGGGTTTGGAAATTGGCATTCAAAAAGATTAGGATTGCATTAGCTTATGGTTGTTGAGGAGTGTGGGGTCTTATATTTCATCCATGGAGTTGATCCTACTGGTAATATAGCTTTCTTCTAGGACTAGTGTGGAAATCCCATTAATTGTGTAAATAGTAATTAGGTTTGATTTGTTTTTATTATTATCCCTTCTCCTTCGGTTCTGACCATTAGAATTAATGGTGATTATTCCTTCCCTGGTCATAGGCTAGAAATCAGGGATTAGATTAGCCTAGCACTGTGTATATATTGTAATTCGCATGTTCATGTTCGATAATATACAATTGAAGCATTTCAGTCGACTCTCTCTCACATGGTATCAGAGCTTGAGGGAGAGATCGAAAACTTATCTGATTCGGAAACGGAGATGGAGCCGACTGGAGCGGTACGCGACACCCAGACATGATCTGCGACTGACCCGAGAGACTCCGATAGCATGATTCCGAATCAGAAAGAAGGAACGAACCACTCTGCAAGTGATTCTCGGGGGTTCGACAATCTGATTTCGAGCCAGAAGGGGGGACCGTACGCGTCGATGCCGAGCCTAGAGGGCTCAAACGTCCTCATCGTCTCTGAAAAACTGACCGGAGACAATTACCGGGAGTGGGCACAGACGATGAAGCTCTCTATCGAAGGTCGTGGACGACTGGGCTTCCTCAATGGCGATTCTGTGATTCCAGATGGCTCAAATCTGAAAGCTCTGCGCTTCTGGAAAAATGAAAACTCGATGGTGGCTTCTTGGCTTATTAATGCGATGACTCCAACAATAAAAAGGAGCTTTATGTATCTACCTACTGCAAGAGAGATATGGGAGGCTGTACGAGAGGCATATTCTGATGGAGAAAATGTTTCTCAAATGTTTGAAATCAGAACTAAATTGTGGCACATGAGTCAGGGTTCCTGTAACCTTAATGATTATTATCTTGAAATGACTGCTCTTTGGCAGGAATTGGATCTGACTAATGAAGATGCCTGGAAGTGTGCTGAGGATGCTGCCCTGTTTAAAAAACGCATTGACAAAGAAAGGCTATTTGAGTTCCTAGCAGGACTCAATCCAGAACTTGATGCGGTAAGGGGGAGGATCCTGAGTCTCGTACCATTACCATCTGTCCGTGAAGCATTTGCTGAAGTAAGACGTGAAGATGCACGTCGGCGTGTTATGCTGAAAACTGATGCTAAGGGGACTACTACTGCACCAGAACCATTAGCACTTGTCACTAGAAGTGCAGATCCAAGAGGCCAGAAGAATGGACCAACTTGTGAACATTGTAAAAAGACAGGTCACACCAAAGATACCTGTTGGGATATTCATGGCAAACCCCCAGACTGGAAACCAAAAAAGCCAAGGGGTCGTGGTTATCACATTGGCACAGAAAAGAGTGATGATAGGCCCACAATACCTCAAGTACATCCAGCCACCTAGTAGTTCCCTCCTGAACAATTCGCCAAGTTCATGGAATTTCTTAATACCCTCCACATGCCTAGCACAAAACAGCCAACAGCCACGGTAGTCCACAAAGGTAACTTCCTACAAGCCTTACATGTCATTCAGCACCTGTGTATTGCAAATCCCTGGATTGTGGACTCAGGTGCTTCTGATCACATGACGGATAATCGAGAATTATTCTTCACATATACTCCATATAGTGGCTCCCTTAAGGTTAAAATTGCTGACGCTACAGTATCTCCAGTCGTTGGTGTCGGAGACATAAAAGTTTCCGATAAGCTGGTTCTTCATTCTGTTCTGCATGTTCCAAAATTGAAGTGTAATCTGTTATCTGTGCAAAAATTGACCAAGGATAAACACTGTCATGCTGACTTCTTTCCCAACTATTGTATGTTTCAGGAAATGTCAACGGGGACGATGATTGGCAATGCTAGAGAATTTGATGGTCTTTATTACCTTGATGCATCCTCTAAAGAGTATGGTAGCGTTTGCAATAAAGTTTCCTTTCCTAAGGATAGTAGTATTTTGTTATGGCACCAACGTCTTGGTCATCCCAATTTTCAGTATTTGAGTCAAATGTTCCCCTCTCTTACTTCTAATAAAAATGTCTCCAAGTTTTATTGTGATGTTTGTGAACTTGCAAAGCACCATAGAACCACTTTTTCTCGCAATATTTACCAACCTTCCCAACCGTTCACCACTATTCACAGTGACCTTTGGGGACCTAGCCGGACTACGAACAGAACACATAAAAATGGTTTATAACATTTATCGATGATCACACCCGTGTTTGCTGGACCTTTCTCCTTAAAGACAAAACTGATGTTGTCCCTGTATTCATCAACTTTTACAAAATGATTCAAACCCAGTTTCACACCTCTATTAAAATCCTACATACTGATAACGGTACTGAGTTTATCAATAACTCTTTAGGCAATTTCTTACAACACCATGGAATTGTTCATAAAAGCACTTGTGCTTCTAGCCCCCAACAGAATGGCATAGCTGAAAGAAAAAACCGGCACATTTTAGAGGTTGCTAGAGCCCTACTTCTTACTCATAATGTACCCAAATTTTATCGGGGTGATGCCATCCTTACCGCCACCCATCTCATTAATCGAATGCCTAGCCGAATCCTATCTTTTAAAACGCCACTTGAGGTTCTTCACATCACCCATCTTATTCCTCACCTTGAAAATAACCTTCCACTGCGAGTTTTTGGGTGCACTGTCTTTGTTCACATTCATCACAATAGTAAACTTGACCCCCGTGCCGTTAAATGTATTTTTCTTGGATATTCTGCTTCCCAAAAAGGGTACAAGTGTTATGATCCTCTTACACAAATTCTTTGTTAGCTGTGATGTCACCTTCCATGAAGATGAATCCTTTTATCCGAAACCTCCAACTCAGGGGGAGAGTGTGAGTGACTTGGAGTCTTCCTTAGAACCCTCTTTCCCACTTGAATTAGAATTACCCTATGAGTATGAACCTCCATTAGAACTTCCGTTTGAAGTTGGTGCATTAACAATTGAACCTGAACTAGATAATGTACCTACCACCGAGGGGGATCCTAATAAGGGGGAGAGAACAAACACTGATAAATTCTATGATCGGTTTTATGTTCGGAGGAAAACATCAAGGAACCAGACCCAAGTTCTCGAAGCTGACCATGATTCTGAACCAATGACAAATCCTGAACCTCAAGAAGATATCACTGACTGTGATCAGCCAGGGGAAGTAGAAGAAGATTTGGATCTTCCCATTGCACTTCGGAAGAAACCCAGATGCTGCACTAAACACCCAATAGACAAGTTTGTCTCTTATAAAGCTCTCTCACCTCGATTTCAAGCTTTCACTACCAATCTGGATAGCATTACAATCCCAACATGCATTGAAGAAGCACTACAGTCCCCAGATTGGAAAAACGCTGTTATGGAAGAAATGAATGCTCTCAAGCTAAATGGTACATGGGAAGAGGTTGAGATACCGCAAGGAAAGAAAGCTGTAGGTTGCAAATGGGTATTCACAGTGAAGTACAAAGCAGATGGTACTGTAGAAAAGTTCAAGGCTCGTCTTGTGGCAAAAGGTTTTTCCCAAATCTATGGAACTGATTATACAGAGACATTTGCACCAGTTGCTAAGCTCAACACAGTAAGAATTCTTATGTCCCTGGCTGCAAACCTTGATTGGCCATTGTATCAGTTAGATGTAAAGAATGCATTCCTAAATGGAGACTTAAAGGAAGAAGTGTACATGACGCCACCACCTGGATTCCCTGCCCAGAGAAAGAACCTAGTCTGTAAATTAAGAAAATCCTTATATGGGTTAAAACAGTCACCTCGAGCATGGTTCGAAAGGTTCACAAAAGTTCTAAGAAAGGAAGGTTTCACTCAAGGGCAGAGTGATCATACATTATTCTTCAAGCACAGGGAAGGAAAGAAAACTATTCTGAGCGTATATGTGGATGACATCATCCTCACAGGGGATGACCATGAAGAGATGGAAAAGATCAAAAAGGCATTGGCCAAATCCTTCCAAGTCAAAGACTTAGGGGAAATGAAATATTTTTTGGGAATGGAAGTAGCGCGATCTAAAAAAGGGATTTATATATCCCAGAGAAAATAAATCCTCGATCTGCTAAAAGAGACAGGAATGTTAGGGTGCAAACCTAGTACGACACCCATTGAAGTAACATCAAAAAAGAAGAAGATAAAAAAAGATGACAGAGAAGAAGAAGAAGAAGAAGAAGATGAAGAGGAAGAAGAAAATGAAGGGAAAGATGTTGACAAAGGAAGATACCAAAGACTAGTTGGGAAACTTGTCTATCTTTCCCATACTAGACCAGATATTGCATTTGCAGTAAGTGTAGCAAGCCAACATTCTCATACTCCTAAAGAGAAACATCTAAAAGCAGTCTACAAGATTGTACGATACTTGAAAGGCACACCTGGAAAGGGAATATTATATCAAAAGACAGAGAAGAAGAATGTAGAGATATTTACAGATGCAGACTGGGCAGGCGCCCATAATGATAGAAGATCAACATTAGGATATTGCACATATGTGTGGGGAAATCTTGTGACATGGAGGAGTAAGAAGCAAAATGTTGTTGCAAGGAGTAGTGCGGAAGCTGAATTTCGAGCAGTAGCTCATGGCATATGTGAAGAGATATGGGTAAAACGGGTATTAGAAGAGCTAAGGATTGAGTTAGAACTTCCAATGAAGCTGTACACTGATAGCAAAGCTGCTATAGACATCTCACATAACCCAGTTCATCATGACAGAACCAAGCATGTTGAGGTTGATAGACACTTTATCAAAGAAAAGATTGAGGGAGGCCTTGTGTCACTCATACATGTGCTGTCACGGAATCAAACCGCAGATATCTTTACCAAAGGCTTGAACAAGGAGACGTTTGAAAAGTTTGTAGGCAAGTTGGAAATGATTGACATATATAGTCCAACTTGAGGGGGAGTGTGGAAATCCCATTAATTGTGTAAATAGTAATTAGGCTTGATTTGTTTTTATTATTATCCCTTCTCCTTCGGTTCTGACCATTAGAATTAATGGTGATTATTCCTTCCCTGGTCATAGGCTAGAAATCAGGGATTAGATTAGCCTAGCACTGTGTATATATTGTAATTCGCATGTTCATGTTCGATAATGTACAATTGAAGCATTTCAGTCGACTCTCTCTCACAACTAGACTTAGTGATATCATGATATCAAATTAGGTTGGGTCTTTAGTATCTGAAAATGCTGCTTCTTTATTTAGGTAATAGAAGTCTCAATCCAGTTATGATCCAACCTTGTGAAATCTACATGTCCTGCTTATAATCACTATCCCTTAGTCCTTTTTCCTTCATTTATAACGACATTGGCCCCCCAATAAATTAAAACCATAACTGGGCAAAGGGCTTTGTTATTTTATTGATGATTGTACCAGAATCGCTTGATTTACCTTGTGAAAGAGAAACCTGAATTCTCTTCAATCTTTAAACAATTTCACTTATTAAAAATCAATTTCAATTGAGTGTCAATGATCCAAGATTGGATAATGGGAGGGACTTATTCAATTGTGTCTTGGGTGATTATTCATGAGAGTAAGGTGTCATTCATTAAGGCTTGTGTTGAGAGCCAGCAACATGGTATTCAGTAGAGGCTCCTATGACGTTTCTTTATGACAATATCACAACCGTAAGTACTGTGAAGAACCTACTTATCATGATAGAATCAATTCAATCAAACATATAGAGTTAGATGGATAGTTTATTATAGAGAAGCTTGATTTAGGGGCATTTGAAATTCATCATACATCAGTTCAGTTTCAGGTGACTGAACTGTTGACCAAGGTTGTTGGTAGAGCGAAGCTATAAACCTGGAATAACAAGTAGGGACTGGTTAATATCTATTCACCAGCTTGAACGGGGTTGTTGAAATTTTCATGTGTTCTTTACATACTTCTTTGGCTAGCTTGTATTTTTAATAGGGTTTTGAGTGTTTGCGCCTTTTCTTGCTGCTGCTGCTTTTTTATTACTTATTTTAATTTTTTATTTTCCTTTTTCCATTTATGTCCTTTATAGTTTAGGAGTGCTTATGAGTGTTATTAGAACTAGAAAATTGGGATTTTAGAATGATCAGGAATTGGAGATGGGTGCTAGTGTTGAGCTATTTAATGCTTGGTTTTGTATTTGGCAGACAGAAGGAATAAAATGTACGTTCTGAGGTCATGTATTTGTTGGTTCTCTTTAAAATTCCGAAAAGAAGTGTAACCCATATCCATCTTTCTACGTATATATATTTTGGATCCTACGGAAAAACCATCTTTCTATATTTACATTGTGACAAAATATTGAGAAGGAAAAGTTTCTGATGATTTTACTCTTTAGGGTACAAGGGTATATGTACAAGAGGGATCAACAATGCTAATAAATGCTAGTATATCAACTCCTAACCATCAACTGCTATCAACATATTAGTCACTAATTACAGAATATGTACACTATTCTAACACATTATATTTGTACTTTTCCCCTTAATAATAGTATTGGAAACTTTGAGCCAGAATGGTGTTACCCTTTCTGCTACATTTCTTTGGTATGCTTTTGTTAACCTTGATTTAATAACTTTTAAGTGATTTACAAGTACTGTTGTTTGTTCCAAGAACCAGAAGCAGGAAGAGATCAATGACCTCCGGGTGAGATTTCAAGGGATGTCCCATTTACATGAAACTACTGCAACTGAACTCCATTTATTAAAATCAAAATATCAAGATCTATTAGAGAGGGAGGTAAGTGAAAATAGATAGGTCTTCTTGAACTCTCCTTTCCTTAAATGTGTTGAATTGATTTGAATTAAGATTAAGACCAGTGACTATTTATCCTTTAAATGAAAATATTAAATTACCAGTAATTAATTCTGAAGGTTACACTGAATGAAGAACTTCATGTTATGCGGAAAAGACTCCTGACAGAAGAGAAGCAGAGAAAAGATTTTGAAAATGAGCTATTAAAACTTAAGAAGAACGTGTCTGAAACTGAGACTGATATCAAGGTAATTTTCTCCTTTTATTTTGATCTATGGATTTATTTTATTGTTGATCTTGAAAATCTTATATTAATACCTTCTTAATTCTTTGAATTAGAGATCTGTTTTGAAGGAAAATACATTTCATGAATCTTTGGAGTATGGATCCCCTATGATGCCAAACAAGATTAAACCATCGAAGGAGGCGATCTCTAGTCAGAAGGCTGCCATTGCAAAGATATGCAAAGAAGGCAAGAAACCTTTAGAATTATTCCATTTGATTTTTGACAAATCACCTGCATATATTTTTGGTCTATTGATTTGCATGCTGTTTGTCGAGAAAAATTCAGTGGGGTTTCAAAGAATATTAGAGTTATTGAAGTCTGAGGACTCAGATACTCAAATCCAAGCTCTAAAGGTGATAGCCAATCTTGCAGCTGAAGGTACAGGACGTGATATAATGCCGTTTTCCCCTTTATTTCTTTATTAGAAATAGAGTATTGTCATTGTTTCTCTTGTTGCATATGCTTTTCGACTCATTCGTGTTATTTTTCTTTATAAGCTTTTGAGCTGGTCTTTCTGTACATATCTTTTACTGAGAATTTTATTTGTTACCTTGCACAATTCAGGCAAAGAATGTATAGATGTTGTAATGAGAAACCATTAGAATCAGATATAAGGAAGTTGCGTTAAAAGTTTAAAATCTTGATATAGATGCAAGTGAAGAATTCATTCTGTCTGAAGGGAGGGTCTATACTGACTTCTAGAGGAGTGTTTCACGCCAAAAAAGAAAAATCACAATAGAAGAACTTCTTAATCCCTGCAAGTTTCATGGTTTAAATGGCATTTAATTAGTGAAGTCTCCGAAACAAAGTTTCATTGAGCAGAGTGCTCTTTATAGTATACAGAGTCAATGTTGGAAAGTTTCTTTGTTTTTCTATTACTTTCAATGTGCATTAAGAAAAATGAGGGGGATGGGAATTAAAGATTTTAATCTATTCTTCTTTGGAGTCTTGAGCAAGGCAATTAACATCAAAGGATGCAAAAGGATTGGACCTGTTATCTAATGTCCTTCTTGATGGTTTCCAGCTTTATCCCTTCCATTTCTTGGAAGTTTAGTAATGAGGCTTCTTTCCTATTAAGGAATAGAGAGAGAAACTTATAGTGCTGGGATCCTGAATGAAGTCTGTCTTAAGAGACCCATAAAAAGATATTTCTGATGGCAAAGAGGGAACCCATCCTTTTAGGGAATGCTTTGAGAGTTACTGGATTGTATTTCATTCTAGATATTAGTTGTGAAGGGTTGTTGTCTTCGGCAACTTTTCCCTTTGGTGTTTCTCCTTCGTGATTTCTGCTGCGACCATCCAGCCTGAAGAAGCTGGCTTGTCTGGCCTGGATAAGAAAGAAGAGCTGAGTTTATACTATGCTTTTTTGTGTTGTCCTTGCCAGATAGTCTGTAAATATGCAATTTTCCTTTTATCTGGGTGAAGAGTGACACAGAATTTGGCCAGAGAATTTTGTGCAGAGCAAGAACATGCCTCATCTCACTAAGTGAAGTTGGCTTCATGGATTGTATGATCCTATTGGGCTCTATTTCTTACAACAGAGTATTATAAATAAATATGATATCATACAAAACAGTGGAATAGGTAGGGTGAAATAAATGCTTAATGAATGAGCCAAAGGAAGCCGGAATTGGAAGCAAGTCGGTTATATGACAGTAATTGGGAACGAAGAAATGTATTAGCGGTTACATTATTAATGCAGAGCTTAATTCCGAGGGGAGATTATGATCTGAGAAGCAAGGTTGATGAGGGACACTAAGGTTGAGAGAAGGGGTAGTTTATTAGTTTGTTATTGCTTGAGTTAATTAGAAAGAGAGTCATTTTAAGCTTAATGACACAGTAAAGGACAAGCAAATCATTGAAAGTACTTCATAGTCTATGCTGGTAAAATAAATATTGGTTGGATACTTGACTTATCATTCATCATTCTATTGTAGTTTCAAACTAAGTTAAAAGTTTGGCTTCTATCTCACTATTTTCCTTTTCAGATGAGCCGTCAATTTGTTGATTGCATTCATCCATATTTGCAATGATAGAATGTTTCCCTCTTTCAGATGTTAATCAGGAAAAAATTGTTGAAGAAGGAGGATTGGATGCATTGCTTACATTAATGCAATTATCGCAAAATTCAACAATTCTTAGAGTGGCTTCTGGGGCTATTGCCAATTTGGCTATGAATGGTAAATTTGAAGGTTTTTTTGGCGTCTTATTTGTGGTCAACTACGCTTTATTGCGTCTTGCTTTTTCGGTTATACTTTTTCATATATTTAAAAAATAAATTTTAAAAAGAGTATGTTTTGAGAAACAGTATACCTATCAAGCTAGAATTTGTGGGATTATCCTTTGAGGACAAGACTGCCAAGTTGATCTCTGATTTTTTATCTTGATAAAATTGTAGAACGAAGGACAGTGTGTTTCTTATCCCCCCCCCCCCCAAAAAAAAATTTAAGATTTTCTTTTTAAGTTGTTTGTTTTGCAAGACAAGAAAATTTTATGGATGGACGTCTATTTATTTAATTTTTTTCCAAATTTTCAATGAAGAATTTTTCTGGAAATGAGGAAACCATTTCTAAGTTTTGTTTTTACTTAACCAGCATTTTTCTAAAGAAACAAGAAAAAGAAAATTTTGCCGCAGAAATATTTTCAGGAAAATTTTCTGGAGTTCCCAAAGAATCTTCATTTTCCTACAAAAATGGAACCAATGAAAAATTACATTTTTGGAGAAAATTGTAATCCTCACGAGATTAGAAAAGGTTCATCAAAAGAACTACATTGATTTAACCAAAGACATCTATAATCGATAACCATTATTTAGTGATGACGACTTATTAATATACTTCTTGAATTTAGAGCTTGGCCAAGGTTTAATAGTGAGCAAAGGAGGTGCTAGGCTGCTAGCAAAGACAGCTTCAAGAGCAGTTGATCCGCAGACCCTAAGGATGGTTGCTGGGGCACTTGCTAATTTATGTGGAAATGGTAAGCAGAAGTTGTCTCTGACGTTCCCTATGTGAAATTTTAACCTGACTGAGGTTTTAAATAATTAACCTTATATATGTTGTCCTGGATGTGATTGTAAACTCATCTCACCCTCCTCTCAAAGTAGATAACCCCTAGGGAAAAAAACACACGCACCCCCCCTATTTATCTCTCTCTCCTCACCTCCGCATGCGCACTTACACATACACAATACATTGATGACTTCGCAAGTCATGCTTCACATGGGTGTATGCTTTAGCTCTGATGTAGAGTCTCTGATTGACATTTGACAGAGAGGTTACATATGCTTCTGAATCAAGATGGAGGTATCAAAGCACTCCTGGAAATGATCAGATGTGGGAATGCTGATGTCATTGCACAGGTTGCTAGGGGATTGGCTAACTTTGCAAAATGTGAATTTAGAGGAAGAGTTCAAGGTTTATGACCGATCTTAGTTTATGGACCAAACTATTCCTTCTTTTTGTTTCTGTAGTAACATCCAATTTGTGCAGGGCAAGCAAAAGGCTGCTCTCTATTGATGGAACATGATGCCCTTTCATGGTTGATTGCCAACTCTAATACCTCTTCAGCTTCAACCCGGCGACACATTGAGCTTGCACTGTGTCATTTGGCACAAAATGGTGAGCTGCTTACTCTGCAGGACATTACTTGGGATGGAATATTAAGAAGCTAAAATAATTGAACAAATGATAAGTATTTAGGTCTGTTGGTCATCATTTCCGGCTTAAGTTGGAATTTGAAAGAGTGAACTGGGGTTCAGAAGTTTCATGTAGCAATAGCAGAGGATTCGTTTATTTTTGTCCTCCTTTTATTGAGTTGTGTAGGGAAACCACTTTATGGTGGTGATTGTTTCCCCAGAACTTGCTCAAAAGAAAACATGCGATTTCCTGGAAAAAATCGAGTGTATTTTATCATTTTTTTTTAATATCGAAAAAGATATATTTGCTATGTATTTGCAGTTTTCTTCAGAGCTCCTACCTGTCCCTGCAGCCACGCCTTGAGAAATGCTTAGGGAAAATGCTGAATCCCTTTCTACCTCCTAATTTCCTTATGGAAGTGACATTACTTTTTCTCATTGCACCAAAAAGAAAAAAAAGGAAATACGCATGTCTATTAGCTGTTGTCCTTTGGTCTAGCCTGTCATCATTCAAGAACTTTTTGCCCCATGAGAAACTTATTAGTACTTGGTTCTTGTCTCTCTACATGGCATTGGATTTAGGGTTTAACATCTCTGCTTGTTTAGAATATGTTTCTATAAGAATTAGTGGTTTAAGTTTGCATTACATTTCATGTTACTACAGAATTCCAATATTCTTTTGGAAGCGATTGTTAGAAACATTGTTTTAAGCTATTGATCATTTTTGTAATTGAAACAGAGGACAATGCCAATGAGTTCATTTGCAAAGGGGGAGTGAAAGAGCTGGTTCGAATATCAGTACAATCCACCAGAGAAGATATTCGAAATTTTGCACATCGAATACTGAGCTCCAATCCTATGTTTCAGGCTGAGATTAATGGACAACAGATTTATTATACATAATACTGAGTCTCTCTCTCTCTCTCTCTCTGAAAAAAGCTTAGGTGAAATGGGTTCCGATTGATGCAAGGGCGTACCATCTTGAGTTCAAAGAGCATTTATAGTTTATAAAAATATTTACAGATTATCTATCAACAAGATCCCGATCAAATCCAAACCAATTGGATTGAATTTTTAAGTCTGCAATATGATGTAGTTACTGATTTATTGTCCTGTGTTGCACGGTTTATTGGTTTATTAGCTTATTAGTGAGCATATCAAAATTTTGTTTTTGATTAGTCTTGCTAAAGAGATGCCCGCAAGATTTTTACTAGATTAGTCTGGGTTAAGCTCTCAAAATTTTTCTTGCTAAAATTACATTTCTACTACTACAATACATGAATTATTATGAATTTAATTGAAATCTTTCACCTAGGGGATTTTTTTCATAAGGTTTGTTATGCAACTACGGATAGAAGTCATGGTTAACTATCTTACCGAATATTAAGGAATGTTGTTAATGGCAGTTTAATTTCTGAAGTTTTTTCTAAATTGCAGATATTTTTTAAGAATGGCTCCTAATAAATTGTTTGCCTCGGCCTCCTAATATAAATTTAATTATTATTCATCTCGTTCATTTATATATTTAATATGCATGTTTTTAATTAAATTAAGACATTTAAGTAATTTATGTGTTTTGATTTGATTAGATTAAAAGATATTAAGTAGATAAAATTAAGTATTGTTTTAAAAAATATCTTTTATTAATATGGCTTGCGATAACATATAACTTCCTTATTATATGTGTTATACAGTGATAAGCATTGATGATTGGTTAGTACCTGATAAATTGCGTTAATTTTTTAAATTTCAAGAAAATTACATATGATATACTCCCTTCATTCAAAAGTAACTAGGCATTTTTAACAGAATTTTAACTTTCAATAAAATAATTATTTACTTTTAAACTAATCATATCTTTTTATATTTACTTTTATTAAACATCATACACTAAATATAAAGTCATTATCAATAGGTGTACTTTTAAAAAAAAAAGATAATGATTATATCTCGAAAGATTAAAAATGACTTACATTTTTTAATATCTAACTCCTTAAAAAATGTCTTATATTTTTAAACAGAAGGAGTATATATATAGGGAAAACATAACTTTAAGTTCTTGTATTTTTTTTTGTTAATCCTTGTACTTTTTTTTAATATTTTTTATCTTTGTAATTTTTTTTCATTGTTTTAGTTTCTTTTTTATTATTTTAAATCTCTCCAAGCTTTCTATATTTTATTTATGGAGGAATTTAAAATAATGAAAGACAAAAGTATAGGGACAAAGACACTAGAAAAAAGTATAAAAATTAATAGTAAATGATGAGCAAATTACAGGAATCTAAAATTATGTTTTTCCATATATATACATATATATATATATATATATTAATTATATTATTCTTGGCTTTTGACAGATACTTCCTCCTTTTTTTTTTTTTTAAATTTTTGATAATAAGGTAGGTAGCAAAACTACATATGGAATCCCATCACAAGCCTTATCAGGCCAATCCAAAGCAATAATCTTATTCAGCTTCTCGTATGGATGGACGAGTAGATGCATCCCACTAATTTCGCTAGATAGTTAGCTGCCATATTGTTCTCATGACTTATATGTTGCAACATAGCCTCCCATTCTCTTCTGAGAAGGTTATGGATCTCTTTGACAAGATCATAATCCTAGTGCTCAAGATTTGGCTCATTGGGTAGAAGATCCAAGCCCTCCGAAGAGTCCATCTCAAGTACAATTGTCCTCAAACAAGCATCCCATGATATTTTAAGGCCAACCAAGCCCATAATTCGGAGGTCGAATGCTTGACAAGCACTTCCTCTTCGTTTATGTTAACCTTTAGAACCTTATCATGGCATAAATTTAATACAATGCTAACCGTAAATAAATAATTGGTGTAAAATTTCTTTCATTTAACGTAAACTATTTAAAATACATCAAATATCAAAGAAATCAAATAATATTTTTCCATAAAAATTATCAAATTAGAAAATACTTTCATCTCCCCCATCATCGAAATTAGAAAATACCTTTTCAAGAAAGAATTGGGAATTTGTGAATTTTTATGAAATTTACATTTTTATGAAAGGTAAAATATTTTATTATTTATAAAAAATAATAAAATAAGGAAAAATAAAAATTTTACATGATTTCAACTTTAGAGACTAAAAAATATACAAACATAAACGTTTAATATGATTTTTAAAGTGGCAAAATTTAAGTAATTTCTCCTTATATACTTATTCAACTTTGATCCAATTAAACTAAAATAAGTGAATCTTAATATATTAATAATATTAATAATAAGAGTTTGTTATGAAATAAATAATATATAAAAAATTATATACCTTAATTTAATTAAAAACAAAAATTTTAAATATATAATGTTAAGTATAGAAGTTTTTCTAATTCAAAAAATTGCTCCTCATAAACAAGTTTTATAACAACAACAACAAGTTTTACAATCATCATCATCATCATGCAACGGTATATTTTTGTTAAGAAAATTTTTAAATACTGAAAAACTTCTTTAATCAATATAAATAAACATTGAACTCAGCATTAAATATCTCAACGGCTAACCCACTAAGATATATTAAATATCATCGTGCTATGCCGATCTCATCTTCACCTATTTTAGTTCTAACGTGAATTTCCCCAAACAATACCTCCCACTTCGCACGTTACAGAGCAAGAAGGACAAAAATCTAATTCCTAATTCCATCGTGGTTTCCCCAGCTGTGTCTCCCACTTTCACCGATTAAAACATGAACGACTTTCCTTACATTTTTATAACTTATCTCACTCCTTTTCTACGATCCACAACAGTCTCTTCGCTTTCAGCTTCCTTCGTTTGGCCATCTTCATGGCTTCTGCTACTATCTCACACCTCTCCTCAACCTTATCTGATGGCAACTTTCACCGGAGGAACAATTTTGGGTTGTCGCCTTTCAGTTCTTCTGTCATCCATTTTCCTGTTTATACTAATATTCGCAATTCTAAGCCCAATGGGTATTCTTCTGTGAGGTATTTTTCTTTTACTATTTAGTCTTTTTGCTATACTTGCTTGTTTGGTTGCCAGGGGTTGATGGAATATATGGGCTTGTCTGCATTGGATAATATCTGCGGTTTTCTTAGGTGCCTCAAGTACTTGTGTGAATGCTTAAGCCTCACTCCTCTCTCTAGTTTTTCTTTTCTTGAATTGTTTTGTGGTCTTTTTTTTTTTTTATTGATTGCTTCTTTTGGTTCGTGGACTGCTAGTTGCCTGGTGGCTGATTCTGAAACTAGAATGGGAAATTTTCAAAAGCCTTTGATTTGACTTTGTTTACAGGACAAACGGAAACTAAAATGGGAAATTTCAAATGATTCTCACATGATATTTTTGTTACTTATACCACACCTTATGTCCCATGCACAGTCTCACTGCTTTCAAATTTCTCCATTTGGCCTTCACCATGGCTTCTGCTATGTCACAGCTATCTTCAACCTCGTCTGGGTGACAATTTTCACCAAAGGAATAATTTGGGTTTTTGCCATTCAGCTCTTCCATTTTTCATTATCCAGTTTATATTAATATGATCCGCAATTCTAAGTTCAAAGAGTATTCTTCTGTGAGGCGCTTCTCTATAACAATTTATACTTTGTCTTGTCTATTTGTTTGATTGCTAGGAAGTGATGAAAACTATAGGCTAGTACGCATTGTATGATATCTGCTGATTTCTATGGTGCCTCAAACTAGTAGCCATGGCATTAGTTCAATTTTATATGAAAGAAATCTGTTTATTTGCTCCTTTTTTTCCAGTTTCAAATATTAACCTTAATATTTACATGCATTTATTAGAGCGGTGTAATCCATGTAATTGACCCCACCTAGTGGGATAAGGCTTGTTGTTGTTGTTGTTTTGTGATTCCATTTTGTTTTGGTTTAATGGACTGTTAGTTGCCTGGTTTCTGAAATTGAAAGTAAAGTGGAAAATTTTAAAAGCCATGCTGTTTACAAGAAAAGGCTAGTTTAAGAAAATGAACCAAAGCATAAGCAACAATTATATGCCTGTACTAAGATGTGAGGAAATGAGATAGGAAAAACATTGTAAACCAACAAGCCAAGAACACAAGCACCAGAAGTTCATACTTTTCTCCTTAATGAGGCTGATTAGATGAACTTTCTGTGGCCGATATTCTCCTATAAATTGCATTTATTGTGTTCAAAATTTAATAAATTATTTCAGAGCAAAATTCTTTATAAATGTTTATGATATAACCCTGCTGTAAACAATAAATACACAATAATAATCTAAAGCAAGCAAACAATAAATGAGGGAAATTATGAGGTTTTGCTATTAATGATCACAGAGAACAGAATCAGTGTTACCAAAGGAACTTCACTGATTCTGGCCAAAACCCTATTCCCTATGGATAAACAAAATACAGAGAGTAAATAATCAACACAGATCAGGTCCCTCACTGGTTTTCAAGAGACCAACACTCACCTCACAACTGTCTTCTCTCTAAAACATTGTCTGAGTGCACCACGAAACATAACTAAATATTAATACCAGGCCAAAAAGTGACCTTAGTGTCTAAGCTGAGTCTGTAGCCACACTGCAAATATTATTACTTACTCCCCATCACCAAGACCCTAAGGATAAAAACCTTGACCTGCTGGATCTTTCTTCTTTGCCCCATGTTTTCTCCTCAATTTCCTCTCACATGTCTTCATAAACTTTCCAGCTCTATCAGTTTACATCTTCCTTCACTCAGGTTTTTCTTCTTTTTGTTGAAAGTGTTCTTTCTTCAGTGCTCATAAAATTGACTTACATTTGAACTATGTATTTGCTTAACATGTGTATTTTAATAATTTAGATGTCAGTCAATTGATGCTGATGAGAGGAAGTCAAATAGGAATCTTCTAGATAATGCAAGCAACATACTTACGGAACTTTTGAGTGGGGGGAGCATTGGGTCCATGCCTACGGCTGAAGGTGCAGTCTCAGATCTGTTTGGTCGGCCTCTCTTCTTCTCACTATATGATTGGTTCTTGGAGGTACTTTCTGCTTGTCCTTTTTGTAAATGGTAAACCTATGCCTTGTCTCTGATACTAATTTCTTAACTCAAATATCTTTATTTTCCACTTTATGTTGCCCCTTTCCTTTGCCCAATTTTGGCCTTTTGATTTTGGTATTGGAAATTTTAAGGAGTTGAATTTCAGTGATGGCCCAGCAGAAACTATCCAACCATTAGATATTGTTTCATTATTAGGGTTCCTAGCCTTGGCTCTAGTGATTCCCCTCGTGCTACATGTTAATCACCTTCAAGTCCTCTTCTTAGATATGAGAGGACTTCAATGTTGTGGTTGTTGTGGGATATTTGAACAAGCAAAACAATTGGTTGCTCCAACTTGTGAAATATTGTGCTAGTAAATACTTGTAAGATATCTTGTACTGTTTAAATTAATATTTTTCTCTATATATCCTTCCCCCTGGGGAAAAATTTGATTTGATTTTACTTTTGTTTGAATCTGCTCAGTTCTACTTTTGTCTATCCTCTGATGATATTGTAAACATGGCAGCACGGGGCTGTGTATAAACTTGCATTTGGGCCAAAAGCATTTGTTGTTGTATCAGATCCCATAGTTGCAAGACATATTCTGCGAGAAAATGCATTTTGTTATGACAAGGTACCATCTTACCTGTAGCATTCTCCTTTTTTTTTTTTTTAAATTTATTGAGAAGTTGTGATCAGGCTTGAACAATTCCCATGTTTTGCCTCCTTAGTTGGTATGCTTTAAGGGTTGTTTGTATTATTGAATATTCTAACTGAAAGGCATGACTTTTGAGTGAATTTCTCCTCCATTGTTGTATATTCATGTGAAACCTGAAAAAGGATAAAATGTTGAAGCGCAAAACATTTTTCTCTGATTTGATTTCTGATTGAAACTGAATTTAGGTTTCCACTGAGTTTTTTGGTATAATAATTTGAGCCTGCGAAGAAAATATATTTTCTCTTCAAATGTGCATGATGAAAAGGCTGCTAAGCTCATTAACCTTCATTTTGTGGGAAAACTACATCTTGGATTTATGTGGACAATAAATCTTCATGAATTTTCTGTGCATCAAGAAGCTGCGTGGTCAGTGTTCACATTGCAACTGAGAACCTTTCTGATATAAAGTCCACCTTACCATTTTTAAACCCCCTGTTCCTCATTTTGCCCAAACTTCAAACTTTCTCTACATCCTTTTTGTTCTTTTCTCTGATAAGTAAGTTCTGATATTTTCACCATGATACCATCAGTGCACTTCTTGTGGGAACTGGCAAAATTTGTGGCATTATGCTTTTCAAATTAATTCATGGGTTTTCATTCTAAGTTTATACATCCTGAACCAGCAGGAAGCTGGAGGATGCCATGTAAAAGCAGGATGAGACATTATCAAGTTTCCACCAAAATGAATTTTTTTAGGGAGGGGGGGGGGAGTATAAACAAAAAGCTGCCAAACAGGGTGTAAACCTGTGACAGGATGGTTTTGAGGAAGATCAAAGTTCCTATTCCATTTGATTAGTTATTATGTTGTTCATTTTAAACAAAAATCAGTTGATACTTATTTACTTTTATTTCTATTTCTGGTTTGTGAAATAAAATAGGGAGTACTTGCTGATATCTTGGAACCAATAATGGGCAAAGGACTCATACCTGCAGATCTTGATACTTGGAAGCAAAGGAGAAGAGGTGCTCGTACAGCATTTGTTATATCATAGTCATTTATTCTTCTCTTTTGTTTTTCTGTTTCATTCCATGTCTCAGCTTTTGATTGAAAATTTATATCTTTGTCATTTATTCTTCTTTTTTTGTTTTCTCTTTGATTCCATGTTTTAGCTTTTGATTGAAAATTAAGGTAACTCAACATTAACTGAAGTGGGATAGCTAGAGAATTGGAATTTAGGGTGAAGAAAGTATTATTTTACAGGGCATATTAAGGATGGAATGATGAAGGCTTATTTTAATATCAAGGATGATCAATCGGTGGTTCAGCTAACTTTGTTGGCCTACTATACTGCCATCCCCACTGGGTGCATCGGGTTTCCCAAAAGAGTCACCTAAGACCCTCAAATATGTAATGTGATCTACATACTAAATAAGTTGTCAAATATCATTACTAAATCAGTAAATGCTGCTTAGCTGAACTTCAGTGTTCAATTGGGTTAACAATAATGACCTTCGACAGTCTGAATAATGCTTGACATCTGTGGCTTCTATAGCTTATTTTTCCACTGATAATATTGTCAAACATTTTGTGACTTACCTCCCTGAGATCCTTTTTGTTTATTTTTATGAATTTGCAGTCATTGCTCCTGGTTTTCATGTTTCATATCTGGAAGCTATGATCAAAGTATTCACAGCTTGCTCAGAAAGAACAATATCAAAGTTCAATAAACTTCTTGAAGGAGCAGAGGACAATAATGAACAGAAGTCAATTGAATTGGATCTTGAAGCAGAGTTTTCTAGTTTAGCTCTTGATATTATCGGGCTTGGTGTTTTCAACTATGACTTTGGTTCTGTGACTAAAGAATCTCCTGTCATAAAGGTTTGTCTAAACGATGAGGCATTTCAAATATGTCATTAATTTTCTTTGATTGTAAGCAAAAGCATGCATGCTACTTTCTACCTTTTGTTTTGCCTAATGTGACTTCAGTTACATATTTATTTATTTACTGTGCTTGCATATTAATTGCTCTTCTACATTTAAACTGTCTGCTTACCCCGAAAAAGAAAAGAAAAGAAAAGAAAAGAAAATAATCGTCTATGTTTTGGGTGTTGAGATGTATCGCGGAAGCAGTCTCCTGCTTCTTTTAGTGAAGAAAAGAGCGTGATGGTACATTTCAAGTAGTCTTGCCAAAATAGTAGCACCATCAGTAAGTCTTGCCAAAATGTTGCTTCTAAATTTGTTTACAACCCTGTGTTTCTGGTCATCAACCCTTCACGCTTCAGGGACATCCAATGAATCGAACTTCTATTTTTTCTTCTTGACCTTCACCTAGTTAATCTCCACTCCATGTCTTGAATATGATGCTTCCCTGAATCTCCTTTTCTTACAATTAGCTTGGCGGGACCAAGAGCTTAGACTGCAAATTTCTTGACAGGAAAACCATCTAACAAACAGATACTAAACACTTGGAGAAAGGGGGGAAAAACTCCATTAAAAATATGGGAAAACTTTGGAAACATATCATTAATAAAAAGTGGTGTCACTATTATACTCCTGTTTTTGGTTGAAAACTAGGGTTAGGATTCAAGTTAGGTGATATTAATGCTCTATTACTATGTTGAGAAAATATGGAGCATAAAAGTTACGAGAAAATGAAGTTGGACAGAACTAGAAAAAATGATTTTTTTTCTTTTGGGTCCAGGGGTATTTGCCTAATATAAATATTAATATTTATTAGCAATATGATTTCAAATATTTATTAAATCAATATGATAAAAAATTGATGAGAAAAATAATGCAAAAATTATAGAATTCATAAAGCTGCGAAAGAAATATTGTCAAAGAAATGAAATAGGAAATAATTTTCTATTGAGAGAGAGTGAAAGTTAGAATATAGATATCACAATTATAATTGAGAAGCTTAAATATATTTTGTCATATTTTATTCATTTTACAAAACTTATTTTCTTAATCAATCTATAAGAAATTATATCTTAAGAGAATGTTAATGAGATTTTTTAAAAAAAAAATCAACAAGGGAAAATGGATATATTTTAGAGGGGAAGGTTAAGTTTTTTTTTTAAATTAAAAACTAGTACTATATAATATATAATATGAATATCTTATGCTAGGGTGGGGACTGCCCCCGAAGGGTAGCATGTAGGACTATCCTTGGAATGAACTTTATGATACACTTACATATATGCATAATTGAATAATTTAATGACAGGGTTTGTTCCATTGCTTGCAGCCTATATTTATACTAACGCTATAAATAACCATATAAAGAAATTGACACTTCTTAATTTGGATGCATTGCTGGTAATTATTTCCTTAATGTGGAAATCTTTCTTTAATCTCTAAATAGGTCATCTCTTTTCTTATCCTTCAAAATTTACCTTAATTTTGAAAACCTCTTAACACAACTGCACAAGCCAACAGTTGTATGTTGCCAGGCAGCACTAGAGGATCCAGTTGTGTCATTAGTAGCAACCTAAGTAGCTATGACCAATTAAAAACCACATTGCGTAAATTTTATGGTCTTTTCAAGTGATATATACTTCATACTAATCAGTAATCATTCTCTTTTGATCATTTCCTCTGACTTTTCAAGTGATATATACTTCATACTAATCGTTCTCTTTTGATCATTTCCTCTACTACTCTTTCTATCTGTAGGTTTCTTCTCTCACTCAGTTTCAGACTAAAAATGAGAGACACTTGAAATAACACCATTCTATATTTTACTTCTGAGCTTCAACATTTAATCTGTTGCTGGTTGTCCATTGAATGATTGTCTATATTTCAATATTGTAGACCATGTTGAGAATTCTTTTAAATTCTAGACTTCTTTATTTGATAGTTTTATATCCATTGAGCATTTATATTTTTTAAAGCCACTGATCTGGAGAGTTATTTGACCATCTACTTTAAAATGTGTTATAGGCAGTCTATGGCACTCTTTTTGAAGCTGAGCATAGATCCACTTTCTACGTTCCATATTGGAAAATTCCTTTGGCTAGGTGGATAGTCCCAAGGCAGAGAAAGTTTCAGAGTGATCTGAAGGTTATTAATAGCTGCCTTGATGAGCTTATAAAAAATGCGAAAGAGAGCAGACAGGTGAGAAAGTACTTTTGAGTTTCAATTCATCATTGTTGTGTTTGTACTTGAAATCTATAGTGTTGAAATGACACTCGTGTGCTTTCTTTACGGTCTTTTGCATTTTAATGCCAATTTCTCTACTATATATCCTTTTTTATGGTGTGTGCGTGCTGCATTGATAGGAGAGTCTTATCATGCTACACTGCAAATCTTTCATCGTAGGATCTTGGACCCATCACCAAATTGTATTTTCTCTGGCAGGAAACAGATGTTGAGAAACTGCAACAAAGGGACTACTTAAATTTGAAGGTGCCTGTATATCTTTGCTGAGTATCATACTGATTTGCAATTGTTAAACTATATACATAAATTCATTGCAAATTAGGAGTTCTATATGTATCTCAGTTTCATTTTAACTGTTACTAAGAAGCTTACAACAGGATGCAAGTCTTTTGCGTTTCCTAGTTGATATGCGGGGAGCTGATGTTGATGATCGACAGGTATTTCTCTTCCAAATCTATTTTACTCTACCTCAAACCGTGGATAAAGTAGTTATCATTGAAAGATTCAATGACCATCTATAACATTTAAGTCAACTTTTGTTTATGCAATGCTATAACCTCACGAAGAAACTTATATCCTTTTTCTTTATGCTTTATAATCATGTATATCTTTCAGATACAAGGCTTTCATAATGTCTTGAATACCTATAAGCAGGATAACTTTTTTTCAACTATAAGACTTTCCTAGATTCTTATAGACTTCCCATGTGCGACCTGTTTGAGGTTAGGGATGACTCAAAATGGTGCGTTTTGAGTCATAAAAAAAAATTATATGCTTCTAGGCCGGCGAGCCTAGAAGCCTTTACTGAAAAAAAAAAAAGGGGTTCTAGGCTAGCTAGCCCAAACCCATTTAAAAAAAAAGAAAACAATAATTTTGGGCTGGAAGTTCAAGCCAAACAAAATATTAAGGGGGTTTGGACTGGTACAACGAACTTGATCCAGTGGATTCTCGAGCCAGGTTTGACCAAAACTGACCCAATCAATAAAAAAACATGAAAAACGAATTTATTTAAAAAAATTATATTATTAAAAAGGCACACATGCTGCATGGGGCCCACTAGATGGGCCAAATGACACTTGGAGGACCCCACTCAAAAGCTGATGGCGCATGGAGCACGATGGACTGGCAAGTGTTCCAATCGGAGTGCGGGAAGACATTGCGTGGTGTGCACCCGCTATCTTTGAGAGTGCGGGTTCTCTGGATTTTTTAAAATTTTCTTTTCCAGTGAACTTCTCAAGGTGTATGAAACCTTTGATTGAAATGTCGTTTGTCTTAAAAAAATTTCTAAATTCAAGATTTTCATTTTGATATGTTATATGCTTGTACTGAGATGTATTTGGAATTTATTTTTGAGCTTTTTCAGTACATTTTATAAGTTAAAAAATGGGAGAATTATATTGAAATCCCGCATAAGGAAATTAATTGCTACAAGTTCAATGGCCTTAGTTCAATTGTCAATGGACCTTGTAGTAATTAATTTTCTTGTATGGGACCTAGATGTAATTCTAAAAAAAAAATTCTTGAAAATTATTTATTTCTCTTTTAGGAAGATATGAAGCAAGAAGCTTCAAGCAGTACTGATGGCTCAGAAAGTTATTTCGTTGGCATTGAATATCTGAATGAGGTAGATTATGAACCTCTTATTGAGGATTTCGACTTGAAACTCTTTAAAGAGGAGGAGGAGGAGTATGAACCTTAAAGCGAGGATTCTGATCTTGAAGAGGATCCTAATGACAATGTAGATTAAGTGCTGGAAGGGCCCAAAGAGGTGTGCATATAATGTTGGGATCAAAATACGAATCAAAGGGTACTAAGTATCTTCAAGACAAAGATGAAGCAGTGGAACAATCCTTCACACCCTCTGTGATTGAAAACATAGTTAAGAAAGATGCTAAAAGAATTAAAAAGTCATATTACATTTCCCCAACTATAAGAAAATATCCAAGCTTCATAACTAAAGAAGAAGAAGCCCTGATTGTGGGAAAATTTTCTAATTTAGGAAAGAGCTCATGCAATATAATAAGCAAAACAAGTCATACTCGAGAAATCTTCTATGGAATGGAGCTATTAAGAGGATGAGAGGGCAAAGAAAATATAAAGACATAATTAAGTATAGTCTTCTTGGGTTTGACACTTGATAACATAACGTATTTTTGTGAATGTTCTGTTTTGTCAGACTTGATGTTTTTTGATGCCGTTTTATGTAAAGACCTTTTACTCTTGTAAATATGAAGTGTGTTTAATTTTAATGTTGAATGGCTTTTATTGCTTTAAATGCTTCTTTTGAATGGGAGCTCTTAAGCAATGAGTCATTTAAAAGTAAATATAGTAATTGTGAAAATATTTAATTTTTTTTTTAGATGATAGTGATATTATTAGAATCAATGTGATAGGGGAGATATAAATGTAGCTTTTTAATCGTTGACCTAATAATGTTGTTATTACTCTAATGAAGAGTAATATAAATATAAGACATTTTATATTTCTCATAAGTCATTTGTTCTTCGTTTAATATAAAATATTATTAATGTGGGATAGTTTCGTATTAGAACTAAGAATGACAATAAAAAACATTATCGTTGAACTTATAAAGGTTACAAGTTAAATGGGGACAAGTGGGGCATATGGCACTATAAGGTGACATACATTTGGGAAGAGCAAGATGTGATTGAGTCATTGATTATTGTTATGGCTAAGCCTGAGGTAGGTAACTCGATTCAACATAGGAGAGATTAAGAGGTATACACGTCATGAAAATGAAAGAATAGTATTGCATGAATAACCTTTTTAAGTGCTTTGGATGATGATTTGATGTATGAATTTTTAAAGCACTCCATAGCTCAAGTCATGTGAGCCGCCTTGAAAGAGAAGTTTGGGAGTACCTCAATCACCAAACTGAGAAGGCTAACATTTAAGTTTGACACTTATAAACTGAAACCAAATATTCTCATGCAACAGCACCTTAAGGAGATGGTGACTAGAGTGTAACCTCTCTAATAAAATAGTACTCAGTTTAACCTTAATGGAGTAAAGTGTGCTACAACCTAGGTCATATCCCTAAGAAGTGGATAAAATCACTAAGAGGTTATCAACGCTACAAATTACTCAAGATGGTGAGAGCTTGATCGAGCTAAATTATCTTAAATGCAAGTAAACCTAAGCTAGTGAAAATGTGTGAATTACTCTTATGACAAGTATGGAGATCCTTAGGAATTTAATGTTAGAGAGTTCATTGCCCACCAAAAGTGTTTAACTAAGAACTGATTCCTCACTAAATTAAATTTCTTCTAGATTCAATTAAACTTAGTTAAATTAGCTAGTTGACCTAAGCCAAATCCCCTAGATTAAGGTAGATATAGCCTCAGCCAACCCACTAATTAAGTATTCTAGTGTGTTCTATCTATCCCTTGCCACGGCCAAGCATGAAATGGACATACAAATATCACAAAATTATGCAATACCCTAATACAAGCCAATGAATTAACCCACAAGATTATTTAAAGGCAAATCCAATACAATTCATAATAATTCAACACATTATGTATCAAATCACTATGGCCAAATCATAGCATTTGGACAAAGCAAAAGAATAGAGTCAAACAAGAATTCTCTCATTACAAATATGATGAGCTCAAATTAGAGTCAAGAGCCAATCAAGTTGCAACCTAAATCTAGAATTACAACATGAAGTAAAATGAGAAGAATCTAGGTTTAGAAAGCTCTTAGCCAAGTGTTGACTATGTGGACTTCATCTCCTTCATCTTCCTCCTAGGGATCTTCTATGATCTCTAGTCTTTCATCTCCATGTCCTTCCTCATTTGGCTGAACCTTGTCATCACTTTAATGGTTGATTTCAACCTTCAATCTTTGAATAATTGGGAGGGATAGGACAAAAATGATGAGAAAAGAAGAACGGGATAGGTTTTGTATGATTTAGTGGAGAAATAAGAGAGATATGAGTGGTTGAATGGATGAGAAAATTGATGAACAAGTGAGAAAGTGAGAGAAAATGTTTTTAGGTGGGAAAATTAGAAAGAATCTGAAAGGGGAGCTGAACTACACAAAATGGCTAAGTGAAAAATGATAGAAAAGGCAAGAAACTTGTCAAGTGATTGTGACAAATTGTTTTGGAGGGAAATGGTGATAATTCCAAACTAGACTTATTCTAATATAATGTGCCATTCCAAGCTTAGTTTACACCTTCTTGAGTCTTCTTCTTCATGCCACAATTGCCCCTTAAAAGCTTCTTTGATTTGCTTTGAACTATGTCTTCAATTATCACATTAATTCACCTATGTAATAATTTAATCAAATAATCAATTCATCATAGTGTGACATTTATTTAATTAGAATAAGAAATATTTAAAGGTTTCATGTTAGGAAAGCAACTGTGTCCTATTAAAGTGATATATGAGCAAAAGGAAGATTACCTTAAATATATATGTCCGTGCTCATGACCAAAACTTGTCTCTTATAAAACAATTTGTTGATTCATAAGTGTGGATACTTTGCATTCAAGAGAGATTATCTGAGTCTTAGATTGACTCTACAGGAATCAGACTAGTCATGACAAGAAAAGTGTATATTGATAAATCTAGGACATTTAAGGTACATTTAATTAAGAATAAATTGAACTATAAGTTTATTTGTGCTTACATGGTCTGTGAGGCCTGAGTTTACAATCCAAGAAGAGGAAACAACTTCCATTAGAAAAACATTACTGGAAATATAAGAAAAATGTGAATTTATATAATCCACAAGTACTTGATCGTGTTCATTTTACTCAGGACAATCTTTTGCAAAATAGCCCATTTTCTGACAAGCGAAACATTTGACCTTTCTTAGGTCAATTCTCTTTTTCGTATCCTTCTTTCCTTTCTTCTTGAAAGGTTGTTTGTCCTTTTTCACCTTAGGCCACTCTTGTTACCCTTCTTGCCCCTCTTGAGCTTAGCATTGGAAGGACCACCTTCCTCAATAAGGTAAGCTTGTCCAGATGACTTGTAAGCTTCCAGACGTTCATCCTCTAGCTCCAAGTGCTTAGCCACATCGTTAAAAATAATAATGTTCTTGTTGTGGGTTAGGTTAACTTTTATGTGCTCTCAACTAGTTGTGAGCTTAAGTGATTTGATTATAGCCTGCACTTGTTGCTTATGAGACGAGTCATGCCCAGCTTTTTTAAGTTCACGAATCATGTTGACTATCTTCTTAGGGTGCTGTTATATAAGAGTAGTTGGCTTCGATTTATAAGTTTTAAACTTAATCATCAACTTTCTCAATTAGCAATTGAGATACTCATAAACTTCTCTTTCAAATTTGCACATCAAATTATCAGCCATAGCACTTAAAAGTGTTATTTGTGTGATACTTTTTTTTTTCATGCTGTGTATGTCTTTTAATCTCTCCTATATTGAGCCAAGTTACTTATCTCAGGCTTAAC